CCCCCCCCCCAGTGTTTCAAATTTAATAAAAGAACTCTAGAGACAAACCAGAGCATTCCATTGCAACCATCACCTCAGCCTCAAACATTGAGGCACCAAAAAGCAATCGTTTTTGTCATGATGTATAATGACCCCTAATGATGCTTTCATAAGTTTCTAATGCTGAGCCTGAAACGCCGACCTGCTAAGTCACTTGCAAAAGTGACACTGCACCTGGTGACCAAGCTGAATAACGCTTTACTCAAAAACGCTGTGCCATCAGCTGGATCCCAGCCATGCACACCTGCACACGAGGAGGCTCACCTCTAGAGAAACAAGGATGGCTGAAAGCTGATTCTGGGTATTTTTTACACTTGGGACTCAAGCCAGGGGGACAAGATTAGCAAGATGAAGGCCCAAATAGAGAGCGCGACAAGAGGGCTCTCTCAGGAGTTTGTGAGCTCTGCTCTCCACAGAGCTCCTTGAGCAGGCAGGGTGGCAGAGGTGGGGGTGGTGGGAGGGGGCTGGGGTGTCCCCACTGTTATTCAGCTCTGAGGTCTCTATCAATTCTCTGATGAACCTAATTTCACCTGTCTCTTCAGCCTAAGTGTGCCGAGGGCCTACTACCAGGCTAAGTGCCATTTCTTATGAGATGATTCTATTATGCACCTTCCTGGGGGAAAAAAAAAAAAAAAAGAAGAAGCAAAGAAAAAGAGTAACTTGGTCTCTTTCTCACCCTCTTCCCTTGCTTGCTTTCACTGTCTTCTGCTACGATGAACTATTGCCCTCTGTCATGTGCCACACTACCTTAGAGCCAGCTGACTGTGGACTAAAACTTCTGTAAACTTGGAGCTAAATAAATCCCACCCCGCCTTTTTTTTTTTTTTTTTTTTTTTGGTACCAGAGATTGAACTTGGGACCTTGCATTTCCCAGGCAGGTGTTTATACACTGAGCTATCTCCCGGGCCCTCTGCCAACTTATTTTTTTTTTTAAAGAATAATTTAAGGAACTGCTTAATGTATGCAAGAAATAATACATATTTATGAGACATAGGTGTAAATATATTTAAATTTCATTTAAAATGAATTAGGTGAAAAGTGGAAAAATATCTTTCACCAGTACCTGTATCCTAAGTGTTCACTGAGATGGATCATGTGAAGGATATATGATTCCTTGCTGGTTCCAGTGAGGCCAGGCAGCAGTAAAATAGTGGGTCTGGTGCTGGCGTCTGTGTAACGTGTACTGCTATCATTATCAAACCAGTCCAGGGAAATCTGTCCTCCATCTGCAGTTTTAATAAGTTCGCTGAAAGAAACAATTCCAAAGACATTACTCATTAAGTGTTTCACGTTCGGTCTTAATGTTAGAGAATTTTTTTGTTCTGTAGCTTTAATTTTTTTATTGTTAGGTTTATTGGTACAATTTAGATGTACATACTGATCACATTCATCATAGAGAATGTCAGGGTTTTAATTCTACAACTATACCATGTTTGGTCCTCTCCAAATCACTTCCACTCAGCATTCTCACACGGATATACCACCTATGTCCCATCACAAGGCTGTTACCATGACATACTTCCAGCATCCCAGTAAAAGGTAATACACAAAGGCCACTCAAACCTCTGAGCTGGGGGTGTGGCAGTGTGGATCACTTGCCTAGCATGTGCAAAGCTTGAGGTTCCATGCCCCAGCACAGCAGGAGGGAAAAAACCCACCTCAAATATTTATCATGTAATCATTTATTTCCTCATTGCTCTAAATACCGAGCATTTAACCCCGATTTGATGGAGGTCGCTCAGATTACTCAACAGGGAATCATGAAACGCAGATCTGATTATGCCTGGAGCTCTTTTGACCCAATAATGCAGCCTTCCCATAGAGTCTAGCACACCATTTGCTTCTTAAATAAGAATTTCTTAAAACTGAACAGAATTTTCCCCAAACTGCATGTTTCAGGCAACAAAAAAGAACTCCAGGAGCACTAGATGACTCAGGAAAATTAATAGCAGGCACCATGTAACTCTCCTGGCTACACATTCCCGGCTACATCTCTAACACCTCAAGGTCGGCCTCACCAAGAAGGCTGCTGCCTAGCAAGGGGAAGCCCCGAACGCGCGGCTCCCTTTCTGCTACACATCAGTGAACCGGAGCTGTCACCAAAGGGTTTGCTAAGGCCAGGTGCAGGACAACCCGGGGAGATGTTACCCCAGGTGCTTCTCCATCCTAGAAATAAACCATGTACTGGGCGGAGGGGAGACAAAAGAGTAAAAAGAGAAAAGGAAAGGCAGTGCTGAATATTTTCTGCAGCTTCAAATGGGGTCGAGGGAATGCCCATTTCCTCCCCCAGCCTGCCTCCATCCCGAAACCCCAGGTTCTGCTAAACAAGAACCGTGCTCCCAAAACCTGTATCTCGAAGAAACGTCAGAAAACGGGCATCTACTTACTTTCTGTACTGCACCGGGGGCTTGGCCGTAATGAAGGGTCTCAGCAGCGTCTGTCCCCGGCTCTCCCAGCACCACACGGTCGGGTAGTAAGTTTCGGTCACCACGGGACAGTGCTCCTGGAGAAAGCGGCTGAAACTTTCGCCTCCCGTCACCAGCTGGGGCTTCTGCAGGCAAAGCCGCAGATCGGCGAAGGGTCCGGAACAGAGCGAACTTTCCGCCGAGCGCAACCGCAGCGGGCGCGGAGCTGTCTCCCACCCCGCCACGCGAGACACCCCGGATGACAACTGCCGGGAGACCGACGCGAAGAAGTTGCAATCACGACCGGCTAAGATCGTGATTAGATCCCCGGGGGAAAGGCGAGAGTTGAGGCGCGGATGTGTCACACGGTGCCAGGCGACACTGCTGCCGCGGACAGTGACCGGGCAGCGCCGGGCGCAGCGTC